TGTATCCCACTTCTTTAAGTTGGTAGTCTCAGTGTTCATTTACTGTATCCTGTGGCTTGTATGAACATATTATAACATGAACTTAGCAGTACTAACTCATGTATTCCTGGGAATATAGAAATTCAGTCTTTGAATCATGTCTTGTTATTTCAGAGGTGAGAAATGCAGCCATTGATTCACTATGTGAACTTGCTAGTCAGTCTCAGTCATTTGCACATCTCTCATTGGACTTCCTAGTTGACATGTTTAATGACGAGATAGAGAGTGTGCGTCTTAATGCTATCAACAGTCTAAGAAAAATAAGTGGTACTATAGTTCTAAGAGAAGATCAGCTGGAAATAGTTCTCAATGTGTTAGATGTAAGTACAGTGTTTATAATTTTTAGTTTAAATGAATTCCCTGTAAATATCCAATGGATATACTTGGTATGGCATTTGATAATTTCACTATTATTCAACTTGAAATCACAAATAAGGTATCAAGATGTCACTGACTTGAACTGCAGTTTGCCACATGACACTGCATTTAATGGTTGCTTTATGTTGTAGGATTCATCACAGGAGATTCGTGAAGCGGTACATGAACTACTTTGTTGTGTTCATTTGTCAACAAAACAATGTCTTAGTTCAGCATTACAATTTCTTCTGAAGAACCTTGCTAAATATCCACAAGACAAAACATCAATATGGAAGTAAGTTGAAATCTACTATTATCACACAATGAACAGTTTATTTGTTATTGACAACATCAGCATGTTGCTTAGCAACATCAGCTTGTCATTAGTGGCGTTCACATTACAGATCTCAGCAAGTGCCGAGTCAGGGCCGAATCGGCATGTGCCAAAACATGTGAGTGAATGGTTGGGCAGAGTTGTTATGAAGACTGAAATTCGACATTTGTCGAGATTGCTGCCTGAGCGCTTGGCATGAACCAAAATCATATAAGAACACAAAACAAAACATAAGAGAATACAAACTGATTCATACTAGAATGACATGACTATGAAAGGAAATGCAACTAGATATGGTCGGATACTGTAGTCGAATGAAATAAATGCAGAACGTTGGTGTTGACACATATTTATGTGCTGCTGCAGTTTCTTTTTGCAATGCTCCATCGACATGAAAAAAAAGTTCTTTGAATACTGCTTCGTCATTCATGTGCACGATGACTCATGATGAATACCGTCAGCAAGGGTATAATTTCGAATAAAGTGTTTATTATTATTATCATATACATATCTTCTACCATGCTTTGGTTGACTAACAGATTGACAAATGAGCGTGTAATTTCTGCATGAGCCGAGTGGGTGCCAACTAATGTAAATGCGACTGTTCTAATCCTCTCCAAACATGAAGGATTAAAAATTTAGGCACATGCCGAGCCCCTGTAACGTGAATATAGTAATTTACATCAACATGTCAGTTACAATTCCACATTTTGTCTCAGGTTTCTGCTTTGTGGTAATTTATTTATTGAACTATTATGTTTTTGCTTTATTTTGTTTTTGTTCATGGTGAAAACGTATTCATTCAACATCTTGCTCACTCAAACCTCTAGCACCTTCTATGGGTCAATGAAATCAGCATTTTGAATCGCAAATTTTTATCTGTTAGTAAGTAATTGGTGAGTGCCATAATGGAAAGTTGCAAATGTAAACTTGCTATGTATGATATTAAAAGTTCATTAATTAATCAAGTTGACTTATATGTGTTGTATTCAAATTCTTATTTCATTTAATTTAATGCTTCTTAAATAAGTAACTGTAATTTATGTTCTCAGATCTTTAAAACACTTGGGACACTATCATCCAGACTTGACATTAACATTGGTTCCTGATCTCTTAGGAACTCATCCATATTTTGATATTCCAGAACCTGACATGGAAGATCCCGCATGTATCCTTTGATACTGAACAACGTCTATTGTCTTATCATGTACTTTTTGTCTCGGAAGCATATTCATTGTTATTTGCTTTTATATCCAGTTAATTTTTCCCTTAAATGGTTTATTGTTCAGATATAGCGGTGATGATTTTAATATTCAATTCAGCAATTAAAAGTCCCACAATGGTGGCTTTATTTCCACAGTATGCTGTACGTCACTACTCTTATCTCCGAGACAGTCTACCTGATTTAGTTCCATCATTGAAGGTAAAAACTCTCTGAATACACAAAAACTCTCTGAATACACAAAAACTCTGAATACACAAAGACTCTCTGAATACACAAAAACTCTCTGAATACACAAAAACTCTCTGAATACTCAAAAACTCTCTGAATACACAAAAACTCTGACTACGCAAAAACTCTCTGAATACACAAAGACTCTCTGAATACTCAAAAACTCTGACTCCGCAAAAACTCTCTGAATACACAAAGACTCTCTGAATACTCAAAAACTCTGACTCCGCAAAAACTCTCTGAATACACAAAGACTCTCTGAATACACAAAAACTCTCTGAATACACAAAAACTCTCTGAATACACAAAAACTCTGACTACGCAAAAACTCTCTGAATACACAAAAACTTACTGAATACGCAAAAACTCTGAATACACAAAAACTCTCTGAATACTCAAAAACTCTCTGAATACACAAAAACTCTGACTACGCAAAAACTCTCTGAATACACAAAGACTCTCTGAATACTCAAAAACTCTGACTCCGCAAAAACTCTCTGAATACACAAAGACTCTCTGAATACACAAAAACTCTCTGAATACACAAAAACTCTCTGAATACACAAAAACTCTGACTACGCAAAAACTCTCTGAATACACAAAAACTTACTGAATACGCAAAAACTCTGAATACACAAAAACTCA